CAGGCGGGGCTGGGGAGGGGACGTGGTCCTCAGGAGGGTCCATGGGCATGGAGCTCACGTGGTTACGTGATGTTCAGGAGCTCCTACAAGCCAAATTGTCCCCCTCCCCCCTCCCAGGGGAAACACACAGATAAGGGATTTCTCTGTCATCACTCAGAACTGGGCTGGGGGCATCTCGTCCCTGGGTGTAAATCAGTGCTGTGCTCCCAGGGAGGGTTTACACCACCAGAGGCTGGTCCCTCTGCCCCGTGCTGGGATGGGGCAGGACTGCAGCACCCCTTTCTGACCAGGGGAGGTGAAATTTGGGCACCCAAAGGGGGTAACAGCATGGGGAGAACGAGGCCATGGGGGGCTGGGGAAGGGCAGTGCCTTGGCCAGAGGCAGGACAGGGGCTGGTGCACAGGGAGGGACCTTCTCCCTCCTTGGGCATCCTGCTGGGGGGAGCAGCAGGTCCCCAGTGGGAAGGAGGGAATAACGACATGGAGGAGGTCAAATGCTGCCAGGGGTGTGAGGAGGGAGCTCCAGCCTCTTTTTGGGTGCAAAATGAAATGGTTTGGGGCTGATTCCTTCTTTCCTCAACCCCCATCACCCCAGCAGCATGCTGACCAGCTCCCACTGAGAGGAGAAGCCCCTGGGACCCCCCCCATGGATTACATCTTGAGATAAACCCATCCCAGCTCCCAGACAGTGAGATGCTTCCTGCCACCACCCTGGGGCTGAACTCCAGCACGGTTCAAGGGACTTCAAATCCAAAAAAACCCCAAACCCCCCCACCCAGCGTGGCCCAGCACCTGCATCACAAACAGACCCCTGTGAGTCCTGCTGGCCTGTCCCTGCACAGTCCCAGAAACAGGAGTGAGAGCCCCAGGGCAGGGAGTTGGGATCCAGAGCAGAGCTGCTGGCTTTTTCCAAACCATAGCTCCCCTTCCAAGAGCAGATCTGGAACCTCCCTCTGCTCTGGAGCCTGTCCCTACGTGTATTGCAAGCTCTGGAAAAGCTACAAGACTTTGGCAGCAATTTCAAGGGCTGACCCAGGAGTTATCTGATAACAAAGCAAGACCCTTCCTGAAACACCTCCTCCTCCTCTGTCTTTTTGTCTCCTTCTGTGTATTTATGCACAAATATGCCTGTATTTACACACCCAGGGGCTGCACTCCCCTAACCCCCATCCAGAGATCCTCTGCTTCCTCGAGCTCAGCAGCCAGCTCTGTAGGACTGCGACACGACCAGCTCTGCAGAGATCACTGCTCCAAATAAAACACCTTCCCTACCAATCCTCCTCACTTGGTGGTGTCCAGCTGCTCTGTGAGCCTCACCCTGTTGCCTTTAGCAGAGATTTTGGAAGCTATTTAAGGGCTGATGGGTTGCTTGCAAGCTTGGGCATGCGGTTGGGTGTTAGGAGACAACCCACACTGTTATCACCACTTTCCATCTCTCCAAAACTATGGCACGAAGGATAAAACTGAAATACAGGTGCTGTCTGCTCTGGATGCCAACCCAGGAGCACCTCCTGAGAGCTTCAGTCCTCCATCCCACCCCTGGAGACAGGCAAAGAGCTCCATGGGAGGAGGAGAGGAACCCCACCACCCATGTTAGGTGGCTCAATGCAGGCTAACATAGCTGGTGGGACCTTCCCTTTCCCCAGTCCCTAATTCAGCATCCTCCATCTGAGCCACTTTGCAGCTCTTTTTTGCACCTTTTCAGAGTCCAAGGGACTTTTGGGTGCTCACCACCTCCACAGAAACAGGCCCAGAGTCTCTCAAACCAAATTCCTCAAGAAAAAAAGAAAAATAAAATTAAAAAAAAAGGAAAAAAAAATCATCACAGTCTCCTCCTGCAAAACTGGTTCAAGATCACATCAGTGAGTCAGAAGCACAGCTAGAAATAGCACTAGAGCTCCGACCTGCAGGCACAAATCCCATTAAAAGCTATAGGGGAACCATTTCTCTGTGTGGGGGAGAGACCTGGACCCTTCTGCTTCCTGCAGCCTGCTGGATCCCTTCCAGCCACAGCCCCCCAGGAGCTTTTTTTTTGCACTGCCCCAAACATCTGAGTGTTTATCTGGGTGTTCTCCCCGTTTCCCAAACACGGTGCCAAGGGCAGCCCAGAAACTTCTGCACCAGGGTTTGTTTTCCCCAGGAACATCTGCCCGGGTGAGTGCAGGAGGTGCAGGATCTGTCCTGAGGAAGGGACTGGCCACGCTGGCCCCTGCCACGGGGACAGATGTCAGCTCACATTGGTGATGACAGGAGGAATGTGGCCTCTGCTCTTTGGCCCCATTTGTCCTCGTGATGCAACTCTGAGGCTTCTCAAGGCAGCTGGGACCTGCCAGCTTGGTGAGTGGGTTTGGCTGTGCCCAACCCAGCTCATGGACCCACTTCTCCCCTCCTGCCTTGCCTCAGAGAGCCCACAGGGACACCATGGACACTGTGCCCCAAACAGCATCTCTCCCCAAACCCCACAGTCTTCCTCCTTCCCCAGCCACAACAGTGCTCAGGCTCCCCAGCTACACCCAGTGCACTGGCAAACGTTTCCCCCAAATCACCTGAAGCCCAAGGGCCTTAAAACAACAGAACACTTGGCAAAGTCTGGCTGAGTGCCACCATCCTCCCCAAAAACCCTGCAGCAACCTGCAGGTGCTTTCCCACACACCACGGATGGGACCACCCGGAGCTGGGGGCACCCACGGTGGGGTGGGCAGCACCCTGGTGCACCGAGCAGCTTCCCTGGGCAAGCAGACATCCCCACGGGCCCCCCACGAGCCAGGCAGACAGGAGCTGGCCACGGGCCCTGGGAGCTGTGCCCGAGCCAGTGGCTCCCGCGCACCCCAGCCCACACCAGGGG